CTTGCACATCGGCTTTTATGCTTTTATGATGCAAGATTAATGTAAACACAGCCCACTGTGAACATCCTTGTAATTCGCTTAAACCTTTTCGAAATTTATGAATGATTATTTTAGGTTCAAGTGGTGCGTGTTTAAGGAACTGGAAGCAAGCAGAATACGGCTATTTCTAAAGCACGCACTGCCATCTACTGTTAAAAACTAAGCTCAGAATCGATTCAAGAGAGAATCGCGATGCCTTTGGAAAATCTAAGAATCAATGCAGAATCATTTCTCGATTCGCAATGCATCGATTTATTGTCCCAGCCCTAATAAATACACAAAAAAGTAGTTGAAGGACATTATATTCTAAACAGATTTGAAATTTGAGATTTGAATGCTATGCCCAAGGTGAGGTTCTTAGGAAATAATTGGTCTGTTGCTCGTACAATGACTGTGTCAGGATTAATAAAAGACTAGTAATATTGCATGAGTCATTTGGACTACTTTATGAATCTTTTATGATGCATTTTTGGAGCTTGACAGCCACTGGTCACCATTTGACAGAAGAAACAAAGTCATATGGGAACGACGTGGAGATGAGTAAATCATGACAGACGAGTGAACTGTTCGTTTGAGGTGACTCTCTCAAACCACTGTTCTATTTGCATTCTGCACCTCAGGGAATTTTATAATGTCAAACTTAGTTTCTTAGCCGCATTTGCGATCTTGGTGTATATCCAGAGCTTACTGTACACATCTCTTCTTGTTCAGGGCTTGACCATAAAAACAACTGGGAATTTTTGATCAAAAGTAAACAAAACTAAACATCATTTGCAATGCATTTAACATTTAATCATTTGCAATGCATTTATGCACTTCCCTACATTCACTGATTTAGCAGATGCTTTTAAATCAAGTAACTTATAAATGAGGAAAAACACAGCAAATGACTTACTCTTCTTGCCAGGCCAAGGGCGATGTAGCACTTCTCTCCAGGATCCACAATCTCCACTTCAAAGTAGTGACTTCGTGTCGTGAGGGGCTGCCGGGCCTGAGCCAGACCCACGTCCATGATGCTCTTCCCTTTCCCGACATATTCCAGAAGCTATGGCAGAAAGCATCATAGACTTAATGAAACTTAATTTAGATGCATTATAGAGCATTTCACATCATTATACATGTTTTAATATTGTGTTTTCAACCGATTGCTCATGTAGAAGTAAACAGGATCTTGTTGGGTGGATTATTTTGTCAGTTTAAGATTAACAGCCTGGTTGTTAGCAGGTTTGAGAAATCGGATATGTTGTGCTACAAACATGCCTGGCTAAGTCTCAGATTTTCAAGGAAAGGAAGATCTTGATTTATGCCTAGTCATCGTGAAACTGGTTTCAAGTTTTATGTTCAGACACACTACTGTTGAGGTTCTGTTTTTGTTTTTAAAGAAATTAATACTTTAATTTAATTCAGCAAGGATGCATTAAATTTATCAAAAGTGATAGAAAAGATTTTACACTAGGGCTGTCAAAAAAAATTCGAATTTTGAATATTCGTCCAATTTATAATAAAAATCCACATTGCGATTTTTAAAAAAAAAGAAATGCGACGATGATGCAAGTGTCATTGCATTTTAATGCTTTTGTTAGCCTGTTCAGTTGAACCCACTAGCGCCGCTTCTACGTTGTTCATTCAAAATATTGCAGAAAAAGAGAACAATCAATGCGGGGAACATGTTGTTTACGTCAAAACCGAAACCAAGCCATTCACACAGAACGCATATTTATCGCATTTTCTAGAGGGACATATATCACCGTTGCACTCGCTTCTCGCACAAGAGAGCCGCATGTTTAGAAAGACATCCAACAACAGAACACCTCAATCGCTTAGGAGTCATTCTTGTCTACATCTGCTCTGGCGGTGAAACAATGGCGGACTGATGACAGCTCACTCAGGGCGGGTCTAAGGTAAGACACCAGTCCAGTCTGTGCTGAAACGCCAATCAAACTATCATGGGAGGGGCCTGTCTGTGTGATGTCATCTCCATTCACACAGAACGCATATTTATCGCATTTTCTAGAGGGACATATATCACCGTTGCACTCGCTTCTCGCACAAGAGAGCCGCATGTTTAGAAAGCCATGTAAAATTAATGCAAGTTCAACTTTTAAAAAACATGTCTCAAGACTTTATGGCGGTTATCCCCATCCCACGGCATCTCAAGTTTTTAAATGAAGAAAGTACTCTTTGTGCTTGGTTTTCGGTCCTTTGTATTAAACTATACTTACATGCATGATGCTGTTTTGTTTCTAATTGTTTAAGTAACTTTATTAATTATATAAGGTTTATAAACATTATTTTAAACATTATACACTTTTTTCATAGATAGTCGTGTTATTTTATTATGCTTTGAAGAAACGTGCATAATATTTTGCTCGATGCGCCCTCTTGTGGCCTCAGGAGAGACGCCAAAAGCTTTTTTTCCCCCTAACTGAAATTATGCCTTTTAAATTTGAATATAATTCGAATATTGATCATATTTAAGTAAAAAAATTCGAATTTGGTTTTTCAGCCATTTTGACAGCCCTACTTTACGCGGTTACAAATAATAATGAAAAAAAAAAATTCCATAAAAGTATTAAGCAGCACAACTGTTTTTCAACATTGTCAATCAGGTTTCTTGAGCAGCAAACCAGCATATTAGAATGATTTCTGAAAGATCATGAGACACTGAAGACTGGAGTAATGATGCTGAAAATTCTGATGCTGTGATTTACCATCACAGGAATAAATTACATTTTAAAATACATTAAAATAAAATAAAAAAGTTATTTTCAATTGTAATATTTCACAAGCTAGCTGTATTTTTGATCAAATAAACACAGACTCAGTGATCTTAAATCTTATAGACCCTAAACTTTTGAACAGCAGTGTGTATATATAAAGAAAAAATTCCTTGAGTGATGGTTTTGAGAAGAATATTTAGAACAATAACCCACAAGAAATGAGATCAAGTATGGGCAAACCCAAGCACACAGCAGTGATGACACATCTTCAGATTGACTTTTTCCATCAGGTGTGTTAGCAGAGAAAGATGTAATAAGATTATCAGAGAAGACAAAAAAGGTTAACCTGTCTTCAATAAATTCATGGGATAGCGAGGGTGGGGCATGGGCTTTCAACTACAGACATGTGAGTGGTATCGACAGCCCCACCTAGCCTTACAAATGAAAAGAAAAATTTACCTATTGACATGGCATAATGTCAAATGTTTCATTCAACAGTAGCAAAAAATGCCATTCATGCAAGTGTGAGCCATCTCCCATGGACTGTCTCGACCTCGTGATGCTTAATGTACACTCAAACATTCAATTCATAGGCCAAGTCAAACACTTTAGGTTAAACCTTGAAATCTGCCTACCTAAAATACATTTTTAGGCATTATATGTCTGTTCAAGTGATCAGAGTTCAAAACTGTAACCTAATGGACTGCCGTCTTAGCTCTGGACATACGCACTTCTGAACACTCAATTTAAAGAGCAAAAATAAATTGTATATTTGGTTATCATATGCATATTTGAAAGGCTAAAACTTTGACAAGTTTAAACCTAGTGAGCTGCCTACTTAGACAGCTTATTTAGGCATCATATGTGAGTTTAAACGATAATTTCAAAGGCCAAAGCTTCAACATTTTAGGTTAAAACCTATTGAGCTGCCTACCTAAGTGCCATTTTTAACCATCGTATGCATGTTTAGAAGGTCAGTTCAAAGGCCACAATTCAGGTCAAAACGAATGTAGCTGCTTACTTAAGAGTGTATCATTAGATATTATATGAACTTTTGGATGTCGAATTTAAACTTTAACACCTCAGATTACAACTTAAACAGCATTTTTGGCAATGAAATAAGTGGCAAAAAAGAACAAAATGGCCAAAACTTCAACACTTCAATTTGAAACCTAGTGAGCTGCCTACCTAGAAATCATTAAACTACAGTTTAAAAGCTAGACAACATTTTTGACCATCATATGTACTTTCAAGTGTTCAATTTAAACTTTAACACCTCAGATTCCAACCTAGACTGTTTTTTTTTTTTGGCATGTGTCATTGGCTGTACTTCAATTGAGAACCTAGCATTAGAGGTCGACCGATATGGGTTTTTCACTGGCTGATGACGAAATTTAGAAATCAGGGCAGCCGATGGTCGATATATGATGCCGATTTTTTTGGCCGATTTTTCTTTTTTTTTTCCCCCTTCATCTCATAAAAGTGAGTTTGAGTAAATGATTATTGCTGGGTACAAGACAATAATAGTAGTAGTAGTAGCCTAATTCAGAGTAATAATACATGGCTCAAAACTTAAGCACCTTCTCAAAACGGTTCTGAAGCATGCTTTTTGTTTATGTTTGCTGACAGACACCAGTGTTTCCCACAGACTTGCAAATGCAAATTCATTCTCCACCAGCAGGAGGCGCTGTTGGAGCGGGAGATATAGCGTTTCCCTGGTAACTGCTGTAATCAAATAAGCGCTGCTCACAAACGCTACTTTATCAGGCATTACAGGAAAGACGAAATGAAAATGGCACCGAAGCTTTTCTGAAGACGGTCGGTTCTTTTCAAAGATAAATTTATATAAAAACACCAGCGCTGCATTTTAATTTTGAAACGTGCAGTGATCAGTTTATTCAACTAAGTAATAACTCAATGTATGGGGAACACTGGACACTGCTATAAGTCAAATGGCCAAGTGATAACAAAAATAAAAGAGTTCACACATATTACACAGCCTGCTGCTCATAACTGCTTAAGAGTGCGCTGGCCACGAGCGATGACATCGTGGATGCTATTGTCGGACCTACACACACATTTCATGAGGAAAGTTAACGTGCA